GCTTGAGCCCATAAAGAGCCTTTTGTAATTTGCAGACCATGGATGGATGCTCTTTATCAACAAAACCAAGAGGTTGATGCATATAAACCTCTTCATCTAAGACACCAAGAAGAAAGCATTGAAGATATCAAGTTGATTGATAAACCAGCTGAAGTGAAGAGCTAAACATAAGAGAAGTCTAATAGTAGGTTGCTTTGCTACTGGACTAAAGGTCTAAAAATATTCAATACCTTTAGTTTGGAGAAATCCTTTGGCAACCAATCTGGCTTTGTATCGAACAATTGTACCATCTGAATTTTTTTTGAGACGAAAAACCCATTTGCAACCAATAGCCTTTTTGGTAGAAGGAAGAGGGACCAAAGACCAAGTTCCTCGTCGCATTAGAGCTATGTATTCATCAACCATGGCAATAGTCCAGGCAGCTAATTGAGCAGCTTCTTGATAAGATTGAGGCTCAACCAGATCAGAAGAAGGGAGATCAGTAGAAGTGAGGAAACAAGTAGGATGATGAGATTTAGACCGAGTAACCATGGGGTGAGTATTAGTAGAAGAAATAGACAGAGTTAGATGGGAGAGTAGGAAAATGAATAAAAATAGAAGAAATAGGGATATGAGAAGATGGAGAAAAAGAAATAGAAAGAGAAGAAGGGACAGCAGAAACCGGTAAAGCTGTTGTATGTGAAACAGACTGAATTGGAGGCAAATTAACAGTCGAAGCTGCAGATTGATGAGCGGGATGAGTTGGATGGTGAGTAGTAAGCTGAGCTGCAAGCAGAACAGATGCTACAGATGGGATAGCATGCTGAGAAACGTAGAGGAAAACTAATTCTATATAAGATATTATTCAATCAATCACAATTACAGAGTTTGTACTTTATTTACTAAAAGGATGCCTACTAGTTAACTATGATTACAACTAACCAAACCAATCTAACTCTAGTTATTATTGCCTAACTAATTCTGTTGAGATGACTGGGCTCTCTTCTTGACTTTGACTCAGCTCCTTTTTCTTGGCTTTGGCTCAGCTCTTTATGAACTTTTGTTTCTACATGAGAGTAATGGGTTCGATTATCACTGATAAGACTCGATTCTTTGCTTGAGAATCTGGAGATCCATGCCCATCTCCGTGTTGATACGTGCATTGGGAAATCCGAGCAAGGTTAACAGTGGTTTCGACAAATGATTTCTCAAATGGAGAATCAATTACTTGATCTTTGTTCATCTTCTTCCATGTTTCATCAATCAAATTGCTTATATGCTTCCGAGCAACTTGTTCAGAAACTCCATTCTCCTTCATGTAACACAGGATTGAATTTGCCGATTCACCTCTCTCCAACTCGTCCTATCACATAGACAAACAAGAATGTTAATGTTAAGTAACTAACGAAATGGAATTTTGCATTAACATTCTTTTGTAAGTACAGCGCCGACCCTTCCTTAAGGCCGTTTAAAAGTTCACCTAATGTCCTCATTTATTTCAACCAATAAAAATAAATAAATAAATAAAGTCTAATATCTTGAATGTTAAAACATGGTAAAAACAACCTTAATTACAAGAATAAATATGTAAGAAAATGAAATTTAAATAAAATAATTTTAGTTAAAATATATAAAATCGTTTTAAAATTTTGCCTGTGGCCCCAGAAATTATTGGGTTTCATCTCAATAC